TGGGAAGCAAAAGGGGAGGCCTTTCCTGCCAGCCTGGATGGCTGAGGCTGACCACATGGCTGGACACTACAGTAAGCCCCGCACCGCCGCCATCCGGGAAGCCCAGCGGGGGGCCGTCTGGATCCGGGAAGCCCTGCGGGAGAGCTTCCTGGTGGAGGAGGAGGACTGACCTCTCCCTTTCATGCCCCATTGGGGCCTTCTTCCAGCCTACCCCCTTCCCCTTTCCCCACCCTACCTACTGTAAAATAAAGACACCTGTTTTTCAACCAAAAACGTCTGTTTATTTCACATAACTGGGGTGGGGGAAGGGAGGAATGAGGGTGGGAGAGGAGAGGGGGAAACCTGGGACGAGGGAGCTGGAAGGGGAGGGAAGGGAGAAAGGGAAAGGAAATCAGGGGTGGGGGGCGTCGGTGGGAAATGGTTGTGGAGGGGGGGCAGGAGGAACAGGGGGTGTGGAGGAAGCAGGAGGGGGAGCAGGAGCAGGAGGAAATGGGAAGCGGTCGAGCAGGCTCTGGAGGTGGCCTCGCAGGGCACGGCCCTGCTCCTCCAGGGCCTCCAGACTCCTCCGGCGCAGCCTCAGGTCCTCCTGGACCCAGTGGTCCTGGGTGCGGAGCTGGTGATCCAGGAACCGGAGGTGCTGCCTCTGGTACTCCTCCTCATTCCTGGCTCTCCTGCTTGCCCGCTGCGCATTGGTGGCAGGGACCAGAGCTTGCCCATCGCTGGGGCTTTGTCCCAGGCGGGCGCCGCATAGCTCAGCCAGGGCGCAAGGCAGCCCGAAGGGGCAGAGCAGGATGAGCGGCCAAGGGGAGCTGACGCCGTTCGGTCTCCACTGTCCGTCTGCCCCAACTCTGCGATTCCTGGCCAGGCTCTGCCCATCTGCTTGGCTTGCATGGTGTCTGGGCAGTCAGTGAATGGCCCCCACCGGGGGGAGCCCTTGCCCCAAGATTTGGCTTCACTTCGTGGGGAGGGAGGGGTAAACAGGCAGGATGAGCACCCCTCTGCCGACCCAGCACGGCCTCTCCAGAGCCTGGCCAATCTGTCCAGGGTTGTCACAGCCCTTCGGCTTCCTTTCCCAGCTCCAGGATGTGTGTGGTGGGCAGGTCCCCCCAAGCTGGCAGAGACGGGGTGGGAAGGTGGGAGGGGCGGAGGTTAAATGAGATGTGCTGGGAAGCCGCATCCCAAACAAAAACTCACCTGTGGGCTGTCCCTTGCCAGGCTTGCCAGGGGCTGCTGGATCAGCTCGTGCCAGGTCCCCACTGTGGCTCTGCAGTTTAGATGTAGCACGAGCCGAGCTGCCTGCCCACCGGTGCAGAGCCGCAGTGGGGGTAGCCCCCCCATGATTACACCATTAGCTGATTACTCATTTCTTAACGTCCCTAGTTTTGGGAGGGAGGGGCCAGGGTGCCAGAGGCAGGCTCTGGCTGAGACCTTACCTGGGTGGCTCCCAGCCAGCAGCCCAGCAGGTTCCTTAACCAGGGTTCCTGCCTGCCACGCCCCTGTGCCGCTCCGCGACTGCAAACACTGTGAGCCTGGGACATGAGGGGGAAGGGGCACCTCACCTGCTGCCTGGCCTGCCAACAGGCCGTTGCTATTGGCTGGAAATAGCCAATGGGACTTATGGGGGCGGGAGCAGCATGAGAAGCATCTGCCCCCTCCCTCGGGCTCTCAGCATTCACAGAAGCACATGGCCCCACAGCAGCCGGCTTCACTGAGCTCCAAGGGGGCGGGGCAGGCAGAGCGGCTCTCTCGGGACGGATCCAGCAGCTTTTTGCCGAGCCCTGTTTGATACATTCGATACCGCTGGACAGCTGCAGGTCTGAGCTCTGCTTGTGCCGCCCCGGCACGGCGCCTGCTCCTGGCTCAGACCCGGGCGTTCACCAGGGGTTTCCCTTCAGTTCCCTGCCCAGAGGCGCTCACCTCCCCAGGGCAGTGGCAGGGCCTAGTGGGGGGCCCAAATCTGGCCTGGTAGCAGCTCCGTCTGCCTCTGCTGCCTCCACCGCTGTGCACATTTGGAGTGGCAGAATGGGGAGCGGGGACCTGAGATGGGAGGGCTGAAATCCTAGCCCTGCTGACCCCCCAGCCGTCTGTGAGGCCCACACCCCTCCCCCTGCATGTAGGCCCATATTATTGAAGAGGAATCTACTGAACCCAGCCCCTGTGGCTGCCAGCTTTTAAAGAATCAATGCAAAAAAAATCAAACAGCAAAGAAATGAGTCCATAAGAATCAACTGCAAAGAGAGGGCTTTTCAATAAAAGTCCCCTCTGCAATCAAAGCTGTGTAAACCCCTGTCGCTTCTCTTGATTGTGCATCAAAACTGGGTTGTTGAATGGCTTCTTGCTTTTTTTGTACGGTTCCAGTCTGGGAACAGAGGAAGCGCACAATAAAAGCGGCAGCTTAAAAATAGTTTGGAGTATTTTTAACATTCAGCTTCAGTTCACTGCTAATTAAAGAATCAATTTCTCCTCCAGTTTATGTCATCACAGTTCAAACAGCCCTTCCCCCTCCTAAAGAAACCCCCTTTGCCTTTTTTCTAGGAAGTTACAAGGAATGCAAGTAGCCAAATAAACACCACAATGAATACAAAGAGAAAGCCACACCCAGGCTCCCAGCTTAGCCCATGGTTACAGCTGTGAGTGCTGATGCGTTTATCTTTGTGGAGCAGATGGTGGAGACTTGCTCTGAAGGGATGTGGTCCAGTGTTCTACCCGATGACTCAAGAGGAAGGTAGGGATGTAAAAAAACTGTACTTGTGTGACTGCTAAAAGCCTAGTGTGTACACAGTTCACCGTTTGTGGAGGAAGCAGGCTCCAGGTGTGCTCCCTAGGGGCTCTGCAGAAGGCTTATACGGCAGAGCCTATAAACTGGCTCTCAGAATGCACCAGTTCCTAGCTTCCAGGCTTGCTTCCAGGGAGCTGGCTTCCAGCTTGAGCTACAGGCTGGGAGCCAGCTGGGAGCCGGTGTGCCCTGGGATCCAGTGTACAAGCCAGCTCCCAGCTGCTGGTCCCGCTCCCAGGGAGCTGGCTGCACTGAGGGCTGTGAAGTATAAGCCACTGCAGAATCCCACAGAACAGGCAGAAGACGGTTCCCCGGGAGAGGAGCTGGTGGAGGCAGCCAGTGCGCTCTAGGAGCCACCTAACATGCACTGGCTCTGGGCTGCCAGCCCCACTCTTGGGGAACTGGTTGCCACCTTGCACTGCAGACTTTGATGCTGCAGAGCTGCAGTGCAGGGCAGCAGCCGGCTCCCCATTAGTGAGGCCAAGAGCCAGTGCAAGCTGGCCGCTGGCTTATACACTCGCTCCCAGCATACTTCAGCGGCTGGCAGCTGGCCCCACTCCCGGGAAACTACAGTGCTACAGGCCATCTATAGGGAGGTGAAAGGCCACTATCGCTGCCAGCTGAACCTTTAGGGAGTTGAATGAGAGTCCTGAAGTCTTTAGATATAATAGGTACTCTAGGACCAGATGAAGGGGAGAAGGTGCAGGATCTTTTTTATTTATTTATTTTTTTTTGTGACCATACAGAGACTCTTTGCCACTTCTAAAGATATGATTTCCTCATTGTTAGTCTGCGACTGTTGAGAAAGATGTCCTTAACAGGTTATCTGAAGCAACCATCACGGCAGATGACCAAGTGCTGGAGAATGTCAACCGCTTCCCTTATCTTGGAAGCTATCTGCCCAGCAATGCTGGCATAACGATGAAATCCGCCAGTGCCGGCATAGCTTCTGGAGGTTTACGGAGGCAAGTCTTCGCTGACCATGACATCAAAACACAGACCAAGATTGACATCTACAATGTAGTCATCCCAATGCTGCTGTATGGAACAGAAGTCTGGACTCCCTATAGACGACAAATATGTCTGGAGAAATTCCACCAAAGATACCTGAGGAGAATATTGGGCATCACGTGGCAGGACAGACGGACCAACATTAGTGTCCTCACAGTGGCTCATTCCTGCAGCATTGAGGTAATAATCACCCACAGGCAGCTATGACGGTCTGGTCACGTGGCCAGGATGCCTAACACACATTTGTCTGAACAGATTTTTTGTGCTCAGCTGAGGACTGGGACGAGATCTCATGGTGGGCAGAGGACACACTACTGGGATGTTCTTAAGAACACCATGGGAAAGTGCAGCATGAACACTGACACTTGGGAGAGGCAGGTGAAGGATCTAGTAACCTGGAATTAAGCCATTTCTGGCAAGGAACCCTCGCTGGCAGTGCCCAACACTTCGAGGTCAAGTGACGTCTCCATGAAGAAGATCAGAGAGACGATGTAAGGACTGTGGCCGGGCCTGTATTGGCGCCGCTGGAGATAGAGACCTCATGTGCAGCCATTGCCAGAGAGTGTTCCTTGCCAGAATTGGCTTAATTTCTCATCTTCCCAATAGGCATCCAAAGAGGAATTCTTACTCACTTCAAGGGATCCCAGAGAAAGAGAGAGCATGCTGCCTCTTCTGAGGTGAGCCAGTCAGACACCAGGCCTGCAGGTGAACAATTTGGAAGTGTGGATGATGTATGCGTCAGAAGATGAGGAAGCAACAGGAGTCGTCATGCTTTTCTTGTGGACAGCTGCATTGGTAAGGACACCATGTCTGTCTGGGCCAACAAGGAACAATTAGAATTGCTGTGGCCTTCTCCTGCTCCGCTCTGGCCATTTATCTAGTACATGGTTGTCTGGTTGTCTGTAAAGATCTGGACTGTTTTGTTATGGATGAGATGCAGGAAGTTGTGGCAGGCATAGATCACTGCTCTGGGCTCTAATATATTTATGTGCAGGCTGGGCTCCTCCAGGGACCATTGATCCTGCACCATGAATGTGCCCTCCAACCGAGGGGAGACACGTCAGTCGCGCTAGTATGGATGGTGGTTGTTTGTGGAAGGGTACTCCACTGGGTCTGTCCACCAAGCCCAGGATTGTTTCACCTTGAGAGGGACTGAGATGGTTGTGTTGCTGCTGTGGAATTGCAGCTTGTAAACTGTCCTTAGCCACAGCTGCATAGGTCTCAGATGCTGCCATGTGGCCCAGAAGTTGGAGGCACGTCCATGCAGTGACTTGTGGACTGTCTTGAGCTATTCCCACTAGTTCGTCTATTGTCTGAAATCTTCGTTGAGGGAGAGAGGCTACTGCCACTGTGCAGTCCAAGTGAGCTCCTAGGAACTCGAGTGCTTGAGCCGGTTGAAGTTTGCATTTTGGTAAGTTTATCTGTAGTCCTAGGCTCTGGAATGTTAACATAGTCAGGGTGACTGTAGCCTTTGTTTTCTTATGTGTTTGTGCTCCTGGCAGGCAATCGTTGAGGTACAGGAATATTGTGACTTCCCACCTGTGGAGATGTGCAGCCACAATGGCATATACTTTGGAAAATACCCTTGGAGCCGTGGAAAGTCCAAAGGGGAGCACTGTATATTGAATCGAAGGGCCTTTGTGTGTGCCAGGTGGAGGGACACATGAACGTAGGCATTCTGGAGGTTGAGGGTCACTAACCAATCTCCTTTTCCTACGGCAGGGGTTATTGAACCGTTGTGGCTGTGCGTACGGGCTGAGCTTTCTTCAATCAAGACTCAGCCTCCACCCTCCTGTTTTCGTCACTGAGAGGCAGTTGTGAGAGTAGAACCCCTTGACCTTGTGACGTTGCAGCACGGGGCCGGTCGCTCCCACCTGGAGCAAGTGATTTAGCTCCTGGATGAGGTTGATCTCATGAGATGGGATAGAAAGGTGATGGCTGTGGACTATGGGATGTGTGTCTGGCTATCTTAGAAGTAGTTGGGTTATCGAGCCCTCGACCTGAACTTCAGGAGGTTTGCTTGGAAATTGACGGTTGGGAGGTCGGGGTTGATCAGTGGCCATCTGGCCTCATAGGGCCTCTGTGGATGGTTAAAAGGCATTGGCCTGTACCTTGTGGTAGGGAAATGAATGCCTAACATCTTCAGTGTGGCACACAAGTCTTTAAGCATGTGCAGGGAAGCATCGGTGGTGTCCACAGAGAGGTGAGACCCCCCTGGAATGGAAGATCCTCCACTGTACCTCATGGGGAACCCTAGACACGTGGAGCCAGGTGGCTCGCCTCATCACCCCGGGCCGTGGCGCAGGATGCAGAATCAGAGGCATCCAGGGCTGTTTGCGGAGCGATGTGAGCTATGAAGGCACCCTCATTTATGTTGGCCCTGAATTACTCCTTAGTGCCCGGAGGCTCTCAATAAATTGTGACAAATGTTCAGCAATGTGGCGTGTATATTTTGCTAGAAGGGCAGTATAGTTTGCAATCTCAGCTGCCAGGATGCAGAGGCGTAGGCCTTTCTGCCCATTAGGTATAAGGAGAGGTCCTGGCAGCATTTTGCTTTCCTCCCTGGTTAACCACATCAGCTGCCAACGAGTTCAGAGCAGGGTGGGAGAACAGAAAATCCTCCCCTCGAGGTGCCATGTAGTACTTCCTGTCTGATTGTGACGGACCCCACCCCATGCTTGTTGAGATGGACTCATGGCCATGAATATACATATCTGAAAAGTGTTTTGCGCAAATTATTTCGTGTAACCCATCTATCGTCATGTCACAAGCCACTGGTCCTCTTTATCTTACTCTGTTGTATGTATCATTTGTGTTTGTAAAATTAGACACATTCACATGTGTGAATGAACGACATGGAGGGTGTTACCCGCAACTGTTAAATTCTCTCTTTTGTCCTTCAGCCTGAGCAGTGGTTGGTAGGGAGACGCCTCAATCCTGTAACAAAAAGAATAGGAGAGGAGAGGCCGGGGTCTTTTGGCTGGGCTGCACCTGAAGGAAGGGGCTGGAGACCCCCAAGTTGGGGGGCGACAGCCCTGGTTTGGAGGGGCAGCTGGTTTTAGGGTGAGTTTGATTAAGTTTGCACTGAGGTTTCAGCGTAGAATTTGCCAGACGGTTTTGTAACCTACTTTGCCTGTTCTCACGTATTACCACTTAAATCCTACTGCTTCCATGTAATCAAACCATTTTTATTTCTATTAAACCCAGTGTAAATAATTGTTACCTGGGGCGGAGGGGGGAGGAGCAACCAGTGTGCACATCCCCCGTCATTGTTACAGGGGCTCACCTAATTCTTTGGGGTCTGATCCCATCCGGGGAGCTCTCTCAGGAGGCTGGGCCCTGAACTGCTCTCTCCTTGGACCTGAAGAGGTTCCGTGTCTGTGCTGCTTCTCGCTCGGGGGCAGGGACCTCAGCTCGGGACCTTGGCTGGGGGAGACCAGGGAGCTGGCCCAGCAGGACTGGGCGGTGAGGAGCCCCAGAGAGCAGGAAGGCGAGTGGCAGTGGCCGTGCCAGCACCCCAGGAGGCCCCCCGAGGGGTCGGCTGTGACCACCCCCGTCACACTGATCTTTTACAAACCAGTGGGGTAGTGGCAGGTGTCTGCCAGATGGCTGGGCCACTGGGCTGGGTCCATTGGCAATGCCAATTTTGCTGAGGGGAGGAAGCATGTAGGATGCTCATTAATTTGTGTTGACCAAAGAAACTTCCAGCACATCTGCCACCCTCTTATACAGGTTCTGACATGACTTGAAGTCGTCTCCTGATGTGGGTGGAGGATGCACGAGAGGAACTGGGGAGTTTTGCGGTTCAAAGGGGGATGCACACAGCAGGGCACTCAGTGCCAGGATGTTACTGGTTTAATGTGACAAGGGGGAGCGAGTTTGTTGTTTCAGAGAAGAGCCCAGAACTGGAGCCCCAGCGTCTGGTGCCCTGGTGAGAGGACACAGCCAGTTCTGGCCAGACGACAGACCAGTGGCTGCAGAGGGGAGACCCCAGCAACTGGCCCAGCTGGTCCCAGTGAGGGGAGAACATTGGACGGAGGAGAGAAGAGGCGGAGAAGAGAGGTTTTAATATGGGTTTAAACTAATCCCCCTCAAATTCACACCTTCTGTTAATTCGGATTAACTTTCACGAGTGCCCTCAGGAAGAGAAGCCCTACATTTCATCAGTGGCAAACAATAACACAGCAGGGGAGCAGCGTAAGCATATGCAATTGTTCTCAATGACCGGAGATCTCCCCTGCCACGAATGCACGGAGAACACACTCTCCAGCGCCATTTTGCTCAGGGAGTGGTCCACTGCCCATCAAAGCAGCTTCACTGCGCAGCATCCCAGGGATCAGCACTCCACGCTCCCGAGTGCTTTTCTCTTGTCTGGTCGATGAGGACGGGAGAGACGGAACCAGCGAAGGGTCCGCCTTAGAATGCTGGATTCTCTTGGCAGCACACCCAGTGCAGAGAGCCTGGTCTTCTGGCTTCTCATTTAGCCTGAAGTCCAAAGCCAAGGGGCACCTGTGGGAATGAGCCATGGCTCTGTAATAGGCTATGCACAGCACTGTAAGAGGCTTTCTCTTTTAAATGCCTGCTTAAGTAGCCCGTAGTGCCGCTGCTTAAAACCCAACCCCTGGAAGGAGAAGGGAGGCTGGTGGAGTTGAGTAGCCAATGCACAAGCTACTTGCCTTTGGTGGCATAACGCAGGACACTGCAGATAATTTCCCAGCATGAAAATGTCCCCAGAGATGGCCCACGTCCCATGGCACTCGTATAACGTGTTACGTGTCGCAGCACTCGCTGGCACTCATCCCCCACTCCTCTCATCAGTAGAACTCAAATTACTTTACCCAGATCAGTCTCGTTAGTCTGTCACGTTACTGAATTTTAGGGAAGCAGCCAGATCATTGCTGCACCCATGGGGAGGGGTGGGGGGTTGGCCCCAGAAGTGGCACAAAGGGGGCCATGTGAGGTGTCAAAAAGAAGCTTATTTTCTTCTGATTCTCTATATGCTATTCATGTGATTGTAGAATGTCTGTGTGTGAAGTTATAAGCATGTACTTTGTATGAGTACTAAATATTTCTCTATATGTGGTTGAGTAATGGGCCAGGAACGTTTGCCTATGGACATGCTAATGAGCAAGTCTTCAGGGAACAATGGATCTCTGGAGGCCAAAGACACACCTGGCCACTGGCCATGTGACTCTAGCCAGCACAGAAGAAAACTGGAAGGAGGGATAAATATGCCATGTGGCCGACTCCATCTTGGTCTCCAGATCTGCTCCTGACCCCAGATGCGGCCTCACAGGGATTCACGAGCTGGGAAGAACTGTGAACCCATCCTGGCATAGGATGTGCACCAAGGACTTTTAAGCCAGCAGCTATAACATCTCTGCTGCGAGCCTGCATTGAGAACTGGGAGATTCGATGCATGTAACGTATGATCCTTTAGCAACCTCACTCTCATGCTTTTCTTTCTTGTAATAATAAACCTTTAGTTTGTAGATTCTAAAGGATTGGCTCAGAGTGATTTGTGGGTAAGGTCCAGAGGGTAAATTGACCTGGGATCTGTGGATGGTTTCTTGGAACCGGACAGAACTTGATTGGGGAAGGTGAGATTGGGCTTTAAGACCCCTCCCCTGTGTATGAGATCTGGGGCCATCTGGGGCACAGATATTGCTGGGGTATCGGAGGGGTTTTGCTCGTGAGGCTTCAGGCAGGCAGCTGATGCGCTCTGTGGGACTGGTTTGCGGTCTGTTTGGGAAGGTCTCCAGTCTGTAAGGAGCCCCGAATTTGAGCAATTCTCCCTGAGCGGATGCCCTCAGCTGTGCCCAGACCCAGCCCGTCACATAGCCCCATTTCACAGATGGGGAAACTGAGGAGCAAGAGGCACAGTCACTCAGTAGGCCAGTGACACAATTCAAACTTGAATCCAGCTCTCCTGAAGCCCAGACCTGTGTGCTACCCACTAGGCCACACGCCCTTCAGATTTAAAAGGGCCTTTATGGACTAAGGGGGCTGCTTTGACTACAATTTGAGAATGGATTTTTGGTTTAAATAAGGACACAAATAAACGCCTCCCCTCAGAGAGCGTCCCCATTCCAACAAGCCAGAAACTTTATCTCCAGCCATTCAAACAGTGGCAGCCCATCAACTGTTCTCTGCAGTTGGGATCTTGTTTCTGGCATTATTTCCTGGTGCTGGCCGGAAAGGCATGTGACAGACGAGCTAGAATCCAGTGTCTTGGCTTTGCCTCATATTTGCCATCTCCTTAAACAAACCACAGTGCTGAATTATTTTCACTCCCAACCCCCAGGCTGTGTCACGCTGTGCAGAGATGGAGCTGCACATCAGTAATGCCAGGAGTCGGTTCCAGAACCACGGCGGGTTCTTCCAGCATGGATCTGCAGAGCTATAGCTGATGCTGTCGCTGTCATTGCAGCATTTCAGAAGACATTCGAGGCCTTCGTTCCCGCAAGTTAAGACCTGAAGGATCAGGGCCCTGGTTGCCCCTGCTACACTGCCATTTTCAGAATGCACTAGGGATGTAAAACTGTCGTCCAGTGTTTCCCAATTTTATCTCCCCACAGAACCCTTTTAAACTCGAAAGAATGGCGAGGACCCGCTAATACAGTGGTGCACCAGCTGGGCCTAGGATAGCCAGGGGAAAAAAAGGAAAAGGACTAGGGCCAAGCAGGCTTCTGGGTCAAAGCACCACGAGACCCCAGCAGAGAGCTGCCTGCGCACCACTGCCCTAATAACAGTCTGGAATAGGGAGCTGAAAAAGTAGAGCACAAAGAAGTAAGGCTAATAATGCCTGGAGGGAGAGTAGAGGAGGGGATCGGTACAACAGAGGGGGCAGCAGAGCCCGAGTGCACCATGGGGGGGGCAGCAGAGCCCGAGCGCACCATGGGGGGGGCAGCAGAGCCCGAGCGCACCATGGGGGGGG